TAGAAATGAAATACTATATTTATTGCTATATCTATATCTCATATTACACATTTTTTGGCTATTCACATAATCAGTCCCCGATTAACCCGACTACTGTTTCCCATTTTCCATTCAGCAAAGTGTTTTATTTCCATACCAAATCTATTGTTAGAGGCTGACACCTTTTTTTTTTGGGGGGGGGGGGGGGCCGGATAATTTTCCAACACCTTAAGCTATTGAAGCTGTGACACAGTTCCCTTAACGATGAGTTGAAAATGTGACAAAAGCTGATTTAAGTCATAATTTATCATGAAATGCTGGATTAGTTGCGATCAATTTTACAACAGTTTATTTTTAACACGTATACGTACACGTTGCGTATACGCAACGTTGGTGACAATGACAATGCCAGGCAGCAGGTTGTATCCAAGTCCCAGGGACTAATGTTTAAATTTATTGACTATCAAATGGTGTGTATGCATTGTGTGTGCCGCTGCTGTGCCTACTGCATTAGTTTGTGCCACTTTCGAATGGATAAGTGCTGGGGAGTGGGGACTATGACACTGAGGTGGGGATACTCTGCAGGAACTTTAATGGTTTAAGTTTGAACTATTAAAATTTCAATGTTTAATTTGTATTAAAATTCTACATAAAGGAATTTTTTGATATTCTATAATTAAGTTCTGAACTTAGTTATATATACTTTCACACAAGTCCATATTGGTATTAAAATACACTTTGTTTATTAGAAATCCCAAGTTTTCCGTTCTTCAAACTATCTATGCTTCTTATTTATGAAAGAAATTCTTCTTGAACTAATCTGAGATGGTAAAATATATAAATACTCTAAAGCCGAGACGAATGCCTGAGTATCTCGAGCTGTTTCTGGGGTACCATCGGCACTTTTCGCGTCCGAAAAAGTGGACGTCTTGGCCTACAGCACGCCTTTTCGACAAATCAACCACGCCCAAAAGCCATGGCAAAAGGCAACAAAGTTGGCTCTCGCTTAAGTGTTTGTAATTGTTATTGCACAAAAAACTCGTTCTTTCACTTTGGCCTGCAAGCGCGAACTTCATGGCTACACCTACCCAGAAAGTCTACCCAGAAAGCCAAAAAATTCAGGATTTCAGCCGGCGGATGATGATGATCATCTCCGCGAGCCCCAAGTTGGTACCAGGTTCTAGCTGTAAATAAAGTTTTGGCAATGCGCAGCCGCGCCCCCAGAGAAAAGACCACCTAATGAAAAGCGGACTTTTCAGCTTTTCTGGGTGCAGTGTGTGTGTGTGTGTGTCGATTTCGATATTAAGAAATTACAAGCAAAGGCTGCTTGCCCCACGCATTATGCGGAAATTAATTTGCGCGTTCAGCAAATTTAATTCAATTTTTTAACAGCTCCGGACGCTGCAACACGACCAACACGCCCCGAAACGAAAGTTGACCCACTCGTGGAATCTTTTGGGCTTGGTTTTGCACTAAGAAAAAAGTTCTGCAAATATTTAAAACGTTTTTAAAACAGCATTTCTAATTAATGCAAATTTAAAGGTTATTTTTTTATACTCTTTCAGGGTTCTTTAATATTAGTAAGAAGCTTGTTATGATGTGAAACAGTCTTTTCCGACCCTATAAAGTATGTATATTTTTGATCAGCATCGACAGTGGAATCGAACTAGGCTTCTAAAAAAGTTAACCAATTTTTTAAAATTTTCAAAGGTGTTACATCTTTAAAACAAAACAAATATTTATAAAAATTGATGCAAAAAACTCAAAATTGTAAGCTTATTTATGATCAATTTCCTCTTCATTCCTATATTTCAATTGAAAACTGTAGGAGTATATAAACATTAGTATTCCAAACCTACTTTCTTGTCTTGTTTTAAGATAATTTAGTTATTATTTTGTGTTATAAATAAAGCACCTTTGGCACTCTTTCTTTGAGTGTGTACGTGGTCCTAAATCGCCAAGAGTACGAATTAAGACATAATAAAGCTGTCCTGCGGTCGAGGCCTCTTTCTGGCCCATCCGTCAAGATCGGGGCGTGTAATTCACTCCGAACTCTGGAGCTTCGAGCGAACACCTTCGCCTTTGCCTTTGCCTTTGCCTTCGACTGACGAGAGTCGACTTGACAAGACGTTTTTGGCTTAAACGCTCTTTTGGGGGGTAATTTCTTCTTTTTTTTTGGCAAAGGCAGTGAGGTCTTTGCACTCGCTTCCAGTATGTTATATTGGGAACGGGAGTGAGTGGCTGTGGTGGCCGCTTGACAAACGAGTGTCATTTATCAAAATGTGACACTATTTGCGCCAAGTCATGTGTTAACTGCACTTTATTTTATTGTTATATCCCGTGTGGGTTGGCCCCTCAAGGAGGTGGAACGATATCCTCCGACACCAAAGGCTCCCTCACAGTCGGTTCCTCAAGTGCTCTCATAAAATATATATCATAATTGAGGGTTATACTTGGGCCGTTGTTTTCTTTTCGCCTTTTTCGGGGGAGACTAAGCCAAGAAGTATAGGGATGGAATTGGCCACCAGGATGAGGAATGGCCAGATTGAGATATGAGATGAGCGTGTGAGTGAGAAAAGTGCCCAGGGGCATGTGGCTCTTCTCTGATTCCCAAAAAACAGATTTCGGGATAAAGATTTTACGTAAATTTATGTACCGTTTTGCAGGACATGTGATTTCCGATTCATTATATTAATCAAAGTTGTCTCGGGAAAGTTAAACTTGGAGAATTATAAACTTTGGCTGACAAATCGAGGGCTGTTAACTTTAAGTAGGTTAAAAGCATCTCGAGGGAAGGATACTCTAACTATACAGTCTTTATATCACTATTTACAAAAAGATGTATATATTTTAAACTTTTTTCCCCATTTTTATTATTTCCAACTCAAAATCCTTTCCAAAAATATTCCTAAAAATACTATACGGTGCACCTTGGTGGTATCAAAAGTAAATTGAGGAATTTTGCGTGGCTTTATCCTCTGCCTAAAAGAAGTAATTTTTTCCTTTCCAATTTGTGGCTTTTTTGGGCGCGTCCGGCATTTAATGCCAATACTATAAACATTATCATTATGCGGCCCGTACAAGACCGCAGTTATACATTTTGCGCGTCCGCCGCGCTTAAATGTTGTTTTTACCAAAAACTAAGAAAAAATCTTGGACACAAAAGCGCAGCGCTGAGTAGCGAAGAGAAAACCCAAAAACCAAAGGCCGAAAAGTAATTTCTTGCACGACATTAATTTCTTTTAAATTACGCATAATTGAAGTACGGGCACTCGAATTTGATCGATGGCCAAATCGAGTCCCGGAGTGCTCCAAGTGCTGCGATCGAAACTCGTTTCCCGCCGCACCTCCTCGTTGTGATCGGAGGGAAATTACAAAAAATATTGCTCTGCCATAATAATTTAATTTCAGTTTTTTTCCCTCTCTTCTTTAGTTGTGCGTTTTTTACCATACGAGGCCGGGTTCTTGGGAGAAGCAGGTCGGCAGCGACATTGACATTCGAATTAGACACCTGACAGCAGAATATCAAAGTCACTCGACGACGACGACGACGGCGACTTCGTCTGCTGCCCATTGAAGCCTTGGATTTGAAATTTGATTTAATTTCTATTCAGTTTGTGCCCCGGGTCTTTGTGCTCCGTGGGCTGACCTGTCAGTCAGTATGAAATTTCATATTGTTAGGGGGTATTTAGTTTTAATTTGGGCACGATAATCGGATTTTTTATTACATCAGTTTAGTGTCACATTAGCGATGTGTCAGTCTGCTTTGCGGGGGCAACAGATTTGTATATCCCATTCCCAATTCAAATTTTTTGGGTCTTACGATATATTTTATAGTTCACAACAAGATCCCGATCCAAGCCGATCCTGATCTCCATCTGCATCTGAACTCTGCCTGCCTGCAGCTCTTTGCCACACGTACGCATGCGCAGAGACTCCATGGAATCACATAAAATCTTTCAGCGAAACTCACAGAACTTATGAATTTCTTAATTTTGTTTTCCCCGCAGGAGTTGCCTTGATATTTTTTATGGCATTTCGCTTGGCGGGGAGATGCTATCAGTTGGTTTTTGTTTCAGGTTTCGGTTCGGTCTTTAAAATGTCTCGAATTCGAATCCAGTGGTCGATTCACTGGCATGAATCATAAGCCAGTTAAATGCGAATTCCTAAATGTTTTTGCTTACCTTACTTACCTGGAAGGGCCTGACACTTGTAACCTAATTTAATTTCGCAAAAACAATAATTATCAGCACGAGAAATCGGTTGGGAATTGTAAGTGACACTATATCCTATCGTTAGATGTCACAACTTTAGTAAATAAATTAATCATGAAGGTCCGTTTCTGTTTCTGTAACTTGCGAATGAACTGTATTATTGGTGGATTCTGGCTCTTGATATATTATAGCATCTTGTCTTATCTAATGTTTTATGAGATTGATAATAGTGAATTGATTTTACATAAGGATACACGAGGACATGTTACTTATAGGAATAATAATACGGGATTCTGGGTGCTGGGAATATGCTTTATATTAATGGTCTTGGACTCTTTGTCTCTGATATTTGGTACCATTATGGTAGATATATGTGGTACTTACAATAAACCAATTTAAACCTTTTCTCCTTAGAGACGCATTCCTCTTATTATCATATTTCTAGTGTGCCAGATCATTCCAATGGCTATAGAATTCTTCTACTTACTGGTAGCCCTTATGTATGGCATTGCAACTGAATTTGTTTTTATATATCTCCTACCCTTTCGTGAGTACCTTTAGATATTTGCTTAATTTTAACTAATTTCATAGTATATTTTATCAGTTTATGTTATTTACATTGATGTAGTGTCTTGCTTTTATTGCCGTGAAATAAGAAAGGAAAAGAAACGACTATCGGACCCCATAGATGTTGAGTATTGAAGTTTGCACTTTCGTTTCTCAAATTGCTAGTTAAATATATATTTCAAGTAAGCTTCCAACTAATTTATTTATTTATACATTTTATAAGAGACTAAAATCACATACCACTTTTTCCGGTAGAACTCACAGCAAACAGCGATAAGGTTGGTTGACTTGAGAGCAGGGAAACCTGTCAAGAAATAAAAACAAAAATGATTTATCATAATGGTAGTTGGACCCGGAGACGGGGCCTGAATTGGAATTGAAATGGGAATGGGAATGGGAGTTGGACTGAAGATGACGATGGCGATGGCGAGATGGAGCCTGAGCTCCCAGCGGTGTTGCCTAAATGGGCGATAACGGCCAAAAAGATCAAGACCACAAGAGCAAGAGACCTGGGCGACGGCTGATGGCGACGAGCGCAGAGATATCGGGCCAGAACGGCGGTGCGTCTGGGGATGTCAACTCTTCATATAAAAATTAACGAAATATAAATTAAAAAATATGCCCAACCTCATTCGGTCTCTGGGCGATGAAATAAAAACCAGAAAAAATCTCGTTCTTGCTCCCCTGCCTCCCGCTGGCGATTTACGAGCATGGCTCTTGGTATGTCCCTTCTGGTTTCGAGTTACGCCTGCGCGACATTGTTGCCTTCCAAAAAAAAGAGGGAAACGAAAGAAAAAGAAAGATTTTTCTGAATTATGAATTGGCCCCCTTATCGGGGGAATGCATCGCCGCATTTAAGACTTTATCTATGGCTCGCTGCGTTTTTATCTAATGGAGGCAGCTTCTACCCATTGATTGGATCCCATTTGGGGCTCCGGTTTCATGCCTGACTTATGACAGGGTCGTATCCTCGGCCTGATAGCTTCATAAGCCCCCGATAAGGCCGAATCCGAGAGCGCTAATTGCTAGCAAAAAGTCCAGGCGCCAGCGGAACCAAGGGATTGGCCCCAAAACTCAGGCGCGGCTCAGGTGCCGGTGCCATATCACCTGCGTGTTATCGCCAGACAAATGCATTTTGCAAATTATTAACATATGTGCTGGCTGTTACACGACCGACCGGGCCAACACCAACCAGCAGCAGCAGCAGCAGCCGAAGCAGCAGCTACAAGCATGTGCAGATACAGATACATTTGTATCTGACGCCAGAGTGTAGGAAGCCGGCTCGGGACTTTTGCTGGCTGCTGTGGCCGCGGCTAATTGATGTCTGTGCACAAAACTTGATTTATTTCTATTAATAAAGCCCCCATGCAAACGGTGCAAGTATCGACGGTACGGTCAGATACAGATACATTTTCAGCTGCCTTATTTGGATGCCCGAAATGACCCAATGGGAAATAGAAGTAATACAATTAACAAATTAAAACCGCTATATAGTTGTAGAAAAAAGAACTTATGGGTCATAAAAGATTCCCATTACAAGTTGAGATAGTCAGATATACATTTCTAATACTTGATTTGCTTTAGCTTACATTTCCAACTGGGTTTAAAGAAGCCGCGTCAATAAATTGCTTGTTTAGCCACAATTACACACATGAACAGCCGCCGAAAATGGCCTAAAAATAATCTAGTGTAACTTGTTGCCACCGCTGTTGTTGTTGCCGATGGAAATCGCATAAAAAAACTCGGTTGCATAAATTTTAACACCGATTTTAATCGAGCTGTATTGTCGAGGCGGCACACAGACAACCCATTGATTCCCGCCGATATTCCGATATTCCGGCCAAGCCCCAACACTTTATGGCCAGCTTTTTAGGCGGTAATTACTCGGCCGGCAGCAGTTCCGGTGTCTCGCTCTCGGCTCGCCAACAAATGCAAGCTATAATTTTGTTATAAATTATTGATGTGTCAAATCAAATTCTCGGCCCGATTTCAGTGCAATGAAGTTGAACGCAAGATTTATGGCCAGCAATTTGAGTTATTACATTGGGAGCGAATGAGAGAGAGATTTTGAAATGTGGTAGGTGAACATTGAGGGCTAACATGGTTTGTAAATATTATTTAATGAAAATTAAACTTGAGATATATTTACATATACCATTCAAGGGTTTATAATTTCAGTCAGAAGCTTGCAAAACAGTGAAGGAATCATTCCTGACCCCATAAATCGTATATATTCTTGATCAGCATCGACAAGGGAATCGAACTAGATATCTCAGAAAGAAAAATAAAATTTTCAACTTTTTCAAAAATTTTTTAAGGGGTTACATCGTTAAAATTTTTAAAAATTGACAAAAATGTACAATTTTTAAATATTTAAATTGAGTATGCAGATTTATTAACCTATTAAAAAATAACATACGGCAGCTAACCGAATTGAAATTAATGAATTTTTAGCTTAGCTATGAGTTTTTTAAACTTTGATTTATCGAAACAAATCGTCATGTTAAAATATCGATAAATATTGATTTAGGGAATGTGAATATCTTATGGCTAATTTCCAATTCGATCCTATTACTCAATTCAATTGAGTCAATTGCAAACAGCAAGGGAATTGGGAGCTTGGTAATGATTACTTTGGTATGAAATAGGACCCTTTGTATAAATATTGATGCTTAAAAGGGAAACGGAAATAAATCAAGCTCAGAAGTGTTGGTAACTATAACCTTAAACATCTATTCTAAAAAGTACTTAAGTCACCTTGAATTGTATGGTTCTTAATTTGATAAGAACACATGAATTATGTGATTGAGCTTTTATTGTAAAATTCAATTTCTTCTTTCTTCCTAAATGAAAAATTACCATGGGATTAAGACTAGAGTTCAAACTTAATTCTTTAATTATATTAACTTTTAAATTGTTCGCTGCTGTTCGAGTACTCCTCCAACGAACCTCGCGGGGCAGACACAAAAATATTTCCAGATGAGGAAAGACTTGGGCTCCGGCAAGACAGATTACGAGTACGAGCACGGCGTCTCGGGGGGATGGCGGACATGTACAACACTTTGCTCAACAAGGCGATACGGAAAATACGCAGCGCTTTTCCCTGTTTCGCGGGCATGCAATTTTCGGCCGAGTTACCGCATGTTTTTCGTCTGAGAGCCTTTTATTTTTTGTTTTAGCTCTGGCTTTGGTCGAGTGTGTTTCCACTTCCCCCTTGACATAACTGGAGCGCTTTTTGGGGGCCCAAAGAGCCGGGCGTATGCAAAGCGCTCAACCTGATTTGGCAGTTCCGCGACTCTTGGGCTAACAAAATGCTGCCGCTTGCTTGTCTCGGCCATTTGCATTTCGATCTTGTGGCGGCTAACTGGCCTGGCTTGGCCCAAAACAAATCCGTATCGTAATAAAAGTTTCGCTGCACAAAATTACAAGCACCAGGAAGGCGGGGGAGGACATGTGGATGCGGACTTGGACATGGACATGGGCTCAGTGTGTACCAGAAGGCACTGCCAATCCGCATTTGAACCACATTAGAGTTGGACTTTCACTTTTTTCGGCCGCATAAATGGCCATTTGGGCATTTTAGCCCGCCCGACTGCGCTTTAAATTTATGTTGATTGGCCGACTTGGCTTTTTGGTTAAATGTTTGTTAAATTGTTTTTCCGCCGAAATGACATGTTTTGACAAATGGGGCGGCTGCCACAAATAGCATTTTGCCATTAAGCAGCACAGTACTTGTTGATTGCTCATTTAAATTCTCTGTGAAATTCTTGTTAAGCGAAGAAACTAAATGTTCTAACCTTTTAATAGCAAATTTATATTGCAAAACAAATAAGATTGCAAGGAATACAGGTCTATAAAACTCATTAAATGAATTGAATATGACATGCTCATATTAATATTATCAAAAACAATCATTTCTAATGAAATATATTAGGAATATTTCCCTCTGTGCTGCAAATCTACTTCTCAGAATACTTGGTAATAAATCCAGGGATAAAGTTTCGGTTTTTTATGCCTCTGTTTTGGGTCATAAAACATCGGGAGCCATCGAATCCTTTGACAATGCCGAGAGTCGAGAGTCGAGAGCCGAGAGCCGAGAGTATCGTCCCACAAATAAATACTAATAAACTATAGGGAGCCGGACACGAGAGTTTGGTGATTGGCCTGTTAGGCCATCCTTCCTTTCGCGTACTACATAAATTTCAATATTTATGGCGAAATTTTTTCCCCTCTGTGTCGCAACAGCAACACATGGCCAAGATAAACATCCCAGTGGCCGAAAAAAATAAAAAAAAGAAAGAGGCAAGAAAAGGCATAAGGGAAAACGGCAGCCGGAATTGCGATACGGATTTGTGGGCGTTTGACAAGCAGCCCGCCGCCGATGGGCGTAACCCAAATAGAGGCGTTGACGCTTGGCGACCGTTCCAGCAAAGTATCTTCTGGCTTCTGGGTAACCCAGGTCCTCTGGATGGGATCAGGGAAGGGAACCAGAGCAGAGCATCGTCGTAAATCGCTGCGACATAAATTCAGTGCACTTTTTGACATTGCGCCTGCCTCCGTGGAGGATTCGGCATACCGCTCGCCTACCTGGCGCACCTGACACAAATTTTCCCAGCTCTTGCTGCCGCTGGTTTTTCGCGCTAATCTCTGTAAACAAATCACTGACGTCCTGCCATGTCCTTGGGGACGTGTTGGTTTAATTGCTGCCAGACGTCGCAATTTATGAGCATCAATAAAGTGTCAACTTTTGTGTGTGCACGCTGCTCTCGCTCCCCTCTGTCAAAGCGGGAAAATGGTCAGAATAAATGCGCTTCTGGCTGTAAATCATCTTGGCGCGGCTTTCCAGGAAACCTAGCATGTCCCTCTCGCTCCCTGGGAATCCGCAATACGGATTCCAGAAGCCAGTATCCAGAATATCCAGAATATCCGATGGTTAACTCGGCCAAGACACGCTAGCCGGGCCAAGACCGAGAGTTTGCCAGCCAGTTTTTGGCATTTGCATTTCAATTGAAGCGAGTAATTAATGTATCGCATATCTGTAGAATTTTAATTGCCAAGTCAATGCACTCCTCTTTGCCTCAGAGCCCACAGAGATCAGATGCTCCATCGGGCCACAGTGCAGTGTACTGGCCAAGAGCGGAGCACGAACCTTTTGTTTCGGCCCAATGCCAATGGGTACACGGAAACATAATTCTGGGGGTTTGTTGTGCTATCAAAATATTATTAAATATTTGATAAAATCATATTAATTTAGGAAACACAAGATAACTTGTAAGAGAAAGATTCAGGTATAACTGCATCCTT